TGCTGACGCGGGCGGCGTACATGGCGCTGAGCACGGCTGAGCGTGAGCAGCTGGACGTGACTGCGCTGGGCGCCGTGGCGCCGCGTGGCGTGCCGAAGCCTGTGGAGATGTACCAGCTGGACGCAGTGCCCGGCCGCACCTTTGCTGCCCTGCGGCTTGGAAGGGAGGAGAATATTGCCGAGGATAACATGGATGATGATGACTCCAGCAGTGAACATGTTTCGGGGTGCAGTACATTGAGTGGCACTGCACTGTTTACTGTGTTTGTGTTAAGGATGGTGTACGGTGTCTTTCCTCCTGCTCAGCGGATAAAGCTTCTGCTTCCGCTGTTCCAGCGCTGGTGTGTTTGTGTGCCCCCGAGGTCTGATCCTGTCGGAGAGGACACCTACTCGAATGATCTGATACGCGTACTTTCTTTGAGGGTCGGTCGTGTTATGGAGCGGAAGTTAATTGTTGGTGGATTGGGGTTATTTTCTCCAGTAAGCACTGATATTTCGTTTTGTTTTACTGGGAGTATGTTTTGTGAAGACCAGTCAGGATTTGAAGGATATGGTTTTCGTAACAGAAGCTTTGCTACCCAAACTTTTAGTGTCGATATATCAACTCCTTTGTGAGAGGAAATGTGTTCAAAAACTGCTGATTCTATTGTGACTATATTTGCGCAATCATATGTTTAAGCAAGATAAACCAGTCATTGTAGTAATCTATTGCTGTTTTGTTTATGTGAGATGTTATATTTGTGTATTCCTATGTATTGTTTTTTTTTTTTTTTTTGGAATGCTGTATTTGTTATGAGGAAGGTATTAAATGCTCCATCGATGACCTTTCACTACTATTTATTATGTGCTTTTTTTATATTTCTTTTGTGGGGTATGTGCCACTCCTAATTGTGATTCCTTCATTCTCTGTTTTACATTACGAAGCAATTCTGTTGTTTTTGTTGACTATGTGAAATATGGCACGCAATCTGTGACCGATAAATTGGCTGTACTATTTTTTATGAAAATTTGTG